CAATTATGGCTTTTGTTTTTAAACAAAGGGTACGTAAGTAGGATTTTGTCTAAATCTTGTTTCTTGTGAAATTAGTTCAATTTGTCAAATATGTTAACTTTACTGTTGGTATGCTCTTTCAGATTCTGGATGAAATTGAACAACATGGCATTAAGATTTATCACTTGCCTGATGCTGAATCAGATGAGGATGAAGATTTTAAAGAACAGACCAGGCTCCTGAAGGTAAGAATAGTTTGTAGATTAAAAATAGTTGATAGTGGCACAATATATAATTTTAAAACAAGACCTAGATTCTGTTCCAGGCTCTTCCACTGATCTTGGAAAAGTCACTTTAACTCTATGCCGAAGTATGGGAATAATTCTTGCCCTTCTTTGTAAATTACTTTAACTACAGATGAAAAGTACTACATAAAAGCTTATTGCTCTTTTATGCAGTGTCTAGTGAAATTTAATGTTATTAGTTATATTTTGGTTCTAGTTCATTCTTGGTGACTCTGATTTTCAGGCCAGTATCCCATTTTGTGTAGTGGGATCCAATCAGTTGATTGAAGCCAAAGGTAAAAAAGTTAGAGGTCGTCTCTACCCATGGGGCGTAGTTGAAGTGGAGAACCCAGAACACAACGACTTTCTGAAGCTGAGAACCATGCTAATGTAAGTCTTTTACACTTCCATCAAAACTTAATCCTGTGTGTTATCAAAATATCTGCACAGAACTAAATTTGAAAAAAGTTAAGTGTTTTCTCATGATTTGTCACTCTGCAGTCCTGTTTTCATGGGAGTGAAGGGGTGTCAAAAGCTGAGCCTGGTTTAAGGCTTGCATTTCAGAGTGTAGGGCCTGCTATACATGGGAAGAGTTCCTGTTTTAAACATCTGTTAAAAGACCAATTTTAAACTTAAACTGGTTCAAACTCTTGTGTAGACACTTATTTTGATAAGTATTTTTGATTGAACTTCAAACCTGTTCCAGTCACCTAAGTTGATACTGAAAGGAGTGTCCACATAGGAGTTCATGCCAGTTTAAATTCACATCTTAGGTCATACTGCATTCATTTCCCCATGTAAACAAGACCTAATAGCTCCATTATGTTGCCATACATTTGACTGTGTAAGTGAGATGTTATTGGGATAGACAGGCAAAGCTAGACAGGCCAAGCTATTGCACAAGGAAACTAAAGAGAAGGCGGGTGAGGGTGGTAAATTTTATTGGACAAATTATTCTCAACTATCTTGTGTCTCCAATAGCCTGGGACCAACATGTCTACAAAAACACAGCATGTATAAAAGAAACGTCACAGCAGCAACTGGGCATTAATGTTCTTAGAATCCTACAAGATAGACCTCTCCATCTATGCGGATATACTAGTCTTTTGGTATAAATGGTCTCTAATAATACACTAATCAGTAGTCATCCCTCCTGAAAAAGAATGTTTATTATAAAGAGCCCCTAACTATACAGACTTTTGGCTCTGTGAAGGAAATTCCCAGGTATGAATGAACTCTTTTTCTCAGATCTCGCGTGTTCAGCAATCTGATCTACCTATCGCAGGTTAAATTAGTTGTTAAAGTCTCCCAGCTTTGATAAAGCTTTCTTGCAAACATCTTAAATTTGAAGGAATAAACAGTGTACTAAGGCTTTTGAAGCTGTGTGCTTGGGTTAGTCTTCTGTGAGGGTTAGAACTAAAGGTCAGCCCATTGTCAGATTCCAGTCAGCTTCTCTGAAAGGTTGGCATGCTACACTCCCTGCAGCCAGTCAAATGAAGCTGCACACTGAACTATCCTGGTAGCCATGAGAGGGAGCCAAACTACCCTGCTCTGAAGATAGAGCAGCCAAAATCTTGATAGCAATCATTTCCAGAAGATGGAATGAAAGATAAAGTATCAGTACATTTCCATTATTTACACACACAATTTTTTTGGTTGTATTTTTTTTGTTTCGTTTTGTTTTTAAAATGTTGCCAGACAGTCATACACTCCCCTTCTATGAAGCTGTCTTCACTAGCAGTGCTGCAGCTGCATTGTTGTAGACACTAACTACTCCATCATGAGGAGTTCTCCTACCAGTATTGTAAGTTACCTGCCCCAGAGGTAGTAGCTATGTTGATGAAAAATGCTTCAACCTAGCATTGTTTATATGGTGGGGTTAGATCAGAATAAATACATTGCTCAAGGATTTGCATTTTTCGCACCCCCTGAAAAGGACAAGGTCATGGTAGGCTGCAAAAGGGAGATCATATACTCATGGTTACCTCTGAAGTTAAACATGCCATCCAGTCACAAACTGTGCTTCTGATCCCCTGCATGTCTTGCAGACTCATAATGAGTATCCCCTGGCTTGTTTCAAAGGGTTCATTGTATAGCTAATTACACTTGATGGGCCATCAAGCAGGGTCAGTGCTGATGCCATTTTGTCTTGCTGCGTCACTCAAAAGCACAGCACAAGTTCTGAATCTACAACTTACAATACAAAGGTGATTATCGTGCTTGGCAAATTATAACACTTTCACAGATACCTTACATGGCATATCTGGTCAGGTGTATTGCAATTTTATAATATTGGTATCTATATCACAAGGTGTTCCATCTAGTTCATACAGCACTGGGGCCTGGGAGACTTAATATTAAGGACAGTAGGATCTCTTTTATAGGACCCTGGATGGGCCTTCCCTTTTCACCTAAGCCTTCTCCAAGAAGAGGGAGTAATTCTTTGAGGAAAGACAGCTCCCAATTCTGGTAGCTGTGACCTGGTGCTGCTCAAGAGAAATATTCATTGTAAAAAATGAATGTTAATGTTGTGAGTCAGGCAGGGAATATGCTCGGTGAGGCAAGGATTATGAAAGAACGCACTTGTGTTTCTGTGTTTTGGGTTCAAATGACCAGGCTGTCCTCAGTCATACTATGTTTGAATCATGCATCAAGAAAGTGCCTCGAGTTATGATCTGACACACAGCATGGTTTTCACTATCCATTCCTTTTCTCCTTTCAGCACCCATATGCAAGATCTTCAGGAAGTGACCCAGGACCTTCACTATGAGAACTTCCGCTCTGAGAGACTTAAAAGAGGCGGCAGGTTGTCATGCATGGTTACAGTCTACCTTTGTCTCCTCTGAGTCAACCTCTTTCTGTCCTTCTCCTTCTCATCCTGACCTTGTTGTAGCAGGATGTGGGGTACATAGGATGTTCAGGAGCTGTAACCAAACACTAGAAACTAATGGTCGGTCTCTCTTAACTCTTATGGTTTAAACATGATTAGAAGAAATTAATTGTTAGTAAAATCTGGACATACAGTTGAGTTAATGAAATGAAAAGGATGTATGGAGTTGTACTTTTCCTTCTAGTTTTATTGGGGTTTGTTTTTGCGTGCTTCATGCTAAGCATAGAAGAAAACTTGTCCATCCTTTGCCATTATCCTGTCACCAGCTGTTTGACACAGCTAGCTGCCTCTTACATTTTTTTTTCTTTCTGGAAAAGTGATGGCAGAAACAGCACCTTACTCACCAGATCTGCTTCTTGTGTATTCAGAATTCTATTAATCCTGTTTGCAGAGAGACGTCATTGACTAAAATAATTTTATGTAGGCTTTATGCCTATAATGTTGCATAGCGAACAGAGTTAGGAGAGTTAAGAATGCTATGGTCTTCACAATGACTCCCAGATCAACTATTTTCAGTTTACATGAATCCAAGCCTTTCCTCTTCCCTCCAGAGACAAATTCAGTTCTTAAAAACCATCACCATGGACATAGACAGTTCTGCAGGCCAAACTAGTGACACTTGGACACCAATGCCTTGATTTAAAAGGTTGAAAACTTTTTTTAAAATATTTCAGCCACTAGAGAGTTACATAATCACACCAGTGGAGCTGACAAGCTTTCACAACTAGTGTGGATTTTCCCTCCTGTTAAAACTAGACAGAAAATCAGATAGGTTATGATAGGAATGAGTCCCAACCCCTCTGATAGTCTGTTAATTTCAGTTTTCCCTTCAGTATGGTGTTCATCTCCATTTTCAGCCACCTTTATGAAATTGGATCCCCTCTCTAGTCTTGGTTTACTGGATTCCTGTTACCTAGCAAGTGTTTCAAGGGCTTGTTGTACATATAGCTTTAATATAGAATTGGTCTATCTGAGACCACTGTGTGTTCCCTAGAATCTCGTGGAGTGCAGATAAAACTTCTCCTCTTTCTACCTTATAATCTTCCAAGAGCAGGAAATAGGCAGTGTGCACCGAGATCCCCTGACAAAATGAGGATAGTCAATATGTTTGTTTTATTATACTAACCTGGTCTCCTTTCTAGTTGTAAGCTTAGGGACTGCATCTGACTTGAGTATTATGAAGTGGTGTGTGTCAGATTACCATCTTCTTGTAGGTTTAGATTTCCATGTAGTTTGAATGGACCTTTCACGCTGTAGTGGGGACAGAAGAAAATTGGCAGGGAAATTTGAGCATGTATCGTACCCAAAACAATTACTAACAGCTGGACGTTGGCTAAATTTTAAGTGTTCCTAGTAACTTCCATTGAAGCATATTTATGAGACTGTACGTTTAAGTTTAGCACGCTTAAGATGAGATTTAATTGTAAGGGTTACTAAATTTCTCTCATTTAAAAAAGGATTTTATTGAATTTTAAAAAATCAAATCCAGTTTAAATTTAAATCTGATTTTTAAATTAAATTTTTTTAACCATACTGTTCAAAAATAGTATGAAGTCTTACAACTAAAAGAAGGAAGACAGCTGTCTTGATTCACAGCGAGGAACCTTCTCCTGTATTCCTCACTTGTGCCTGTCTTAAGCTGCTGCTGCTTTTTTTAGGTGGCTGGGGGAAACAAGTGTACTGGGTCTATAAAAAAGGTTCATTTTTGTAATGAAAAAAAAATTCAGTCGATATGGGGAAAGTGTCTGAATAAATCCTCTGTGTATTTAAAGAAACTGCATGTGAGATAAGACTGCAAGCCTAGTTCAGAATGCAAATCTTGGTTGTTTATTCAGAAGATTAAGATTTTGTTGAGGTTATTTTAGTAAAAGTCAGACATGGGTCACAGGCAATAAAAAGAAAATCATGGAAGCCTATGACCTAGCATTGACCTTAGTGTAGAGAATGAGAGCCCGTCTCTACATTCGAAGGAGAGGAGGGCATCCCCAGGCAGCCCCAGACTGAAGCAGAAAATGTCATGGAGGTCTCTGAAAGTCATGGAATCCATGACCTCAGTGACGCATGTTGTTGATTGATGTTTATGTCTATCTCTTTTAATCTTAGGAAAGTTGAAGATGAGGAAGTGAATAAAGATCAAATTTTGCTGGAAAAGGAAGCTGAAGTAAGATCTTTTTCTTATAGACAAACTCTGTATAGCAAAAATGCCTGTCTTTCATTCCTTAATTTTCTTTGGAGCTAAATATTTCATTCTGATCTCAGTGCAGAATGGCTTTTTTAACAGTTTAAACAAAATAATAGTAATAAGAGTGTGAAAGCTTTCTCTTAAGAATTGCCACAGCTGCTTGCTTGCTGTGATCACATCAAAACTGCTTTGTTTGCTTTTCAAATTTCAGCTTGGACAGGACTGGATGGCTCCAATCACTGTATGTGGAACCTTGAATCTCCTGGCTGCCTCTCATATCTGTTTTGGGGTCAGAAAGTATTTGCCATCTCCTGGCTGTTTTTAAGTCCTGTGTGAAGTGAGCTGGGGCTCACTTCAATTTCTAGTGCAGGGATGGGCAATAACTTTTGCCCAGGGGCCACTTCAAACATTTTTGAAGTAGCCCTGACCTGCCTGGGAAGGGGGGCGACCCCACACCATGATTGGTCTGGGGATGGGGGAGCTCCTTTGGGCCCCCCCCTTCCCACTAGGCACCCATGCCCTGGAAGGGGCTTGGCACGTGCTCTTCCCCCCACCCCCTCAAAAGCCTGCTCCTGCCCTGCAAGGTGCCACAGGCTCCTCGCAGGGCCAGGGCAGTGTGAAGGAAACTTCATGCAGCTCCCCCACCCCCAGACCCTGATTGGCCTGGGTGCGGGGGAGTGCGTGAGGCCTCCTCCACTTTCCCCCCTGCCTTGCGAGCAGTGTGCAATGCTTTGAAGTGCTATGTGCTGCTTGCAGGGTGGGGACAGAGCAGAGAAGGCTTTGGGTGCTCCCCTGCCCCCCAGGCTCTAATTGGCCTGGGGGCGGGGGAAGCAGCAGGGCCTCCATGGGCCGGATCCACCTTCTTGGCCAGCTGGATCTGGCCCACAAAGGCCCTTTTGCCCACCCCTGTTCTGGTGAGCAGATGTGATCATATTGCAAAATCCCTGCTACAGTTTGAGCCTTTGGAGCATTCTGAAGGCACCAGGTTCATTTAATGGAGAACTGACACTGAATTATCTTATTGCCTTTAGATACAGTTTTGCTAAGCCAAGATTAGGCCCCTTGCAGGGCAGTAGAGAGGTGCTTGTGTTGTAAATTTCACATTTAGCATATAGTTATTATTCAGTGAGGACCAGTGCTTTGAGACAAGTGTGAAAAGCATTACAGGCAAAGGAAGATTACATGTTTAAATGCAAATTCGAATTGCAATATGCAATCTGATAATCGGTCCACTAAATTCCTTCCCTTACTAAACTTCCCCCATCATCTCTAGAGATGAGTTTGTAAAACATCTTGTTCTGCACATCTGCAGAAGCCTTTCACTGTGTCACTTTAACAAGGATCGGACTCCTTCTCTGCCTTCTACTGGTGGTCTTCCCACTGGAGAGGAGATGAACTCTTCAAGAGGACAGTGATTAACTTTGGGGTGGTAGGCTTGTCATTCTAGGAAGTGGCTAGGAGGAATTAACGTTGTAGGTTGTTATGCTAACTTCATTTAAAAAATAATTGCATAAATCAATTCATCATTAAGGGTGGAAACTTAAATGCAGGAGTCGGACATTAAAAAAATCTTCCTAGAGCAGTGTTGGCTCCATCATTTAAAATCTATCAAGACTAGCGTTCTAGTAGCCTAACTAGAACTTAAGAAGACTTTTAGCAGGTCCACTTTGCTCCTTCCTCTGCTGCGTTTAAACACCGCTCTAAAGATCCTGGGACTCAGCAGTCACTGGTATAGCTTACTCAGTCTCACTACATACAACTTGGATTTTCAATCTGAGAGATTTCTCAATTTCTGCATCCAAAAGGGAAGAGCTACAGCTCTCCTTCCAGTCTCTGGCTTCCTTCCCTGGGGCCTGTATGGAGCACCAGGCTAATTAAGTGGGCTGCTGCTTCCCACTTGCCGGTCAGGTGCAGGTTTTTCTGGCCAGCTCCAGTTTGCCTCTATTAACTGCCTCGAGTTCTTGCCCAGCACTCTGTCACAAGACACTTATACGCAGTGTGGTTGGGTTAAGTGGCTTCCTGGCTCCTGCACGTAAAGACTCAAACAGTCTGGAATTGTTGAATGGTTTGTTTGAATGATTTCACTGTAGCTGGAGTAACTATTGCCTCTTTCTGTTGAGGATGGGAGGGATGGATCGAGGGGATACAAGAAGCAGCTTGCAGACAATGGCTTTACTAATAACTTCGGTAACTGTAAAGACAGGTTGAACCTCTAAAAACCAGAACTCTCTGGCCCAGGAACATATGTGGCCTGGCAGGAGAGTCCCAGAGGCTGGAAGCTGGACAGCAGGAGGGATGTAACAGGTTAACCAATAAGCATCACCCTTACCAGGTGATGCTGTTCACTAACCAGTTAACAGTTAACCAGCAGCCCAACTGGGCTGGAGCAGCCCTCCCACCTGATGTGGGCAGGGGGCCTGCTCTGGCCCAGTCAGGCATGCCACGGATGTTGGGGGGGGGCACAGAATCCTGGTTAAGTGGTAAACTGGTTAGAGGTAACATTTAACTGGTTAATTGATTAAATGGGATTTTACATCCTTAGCGGGGAGGGGCAGAAGCCAGCGGGGCTGGCAGAGTGGGAGCAGGGATGTAAAATCACCACGGTGGGCAATGATTTTCGCCGGGGGGGCCTAATTTTGTTACGTGGTCATGGGCCAGCTCCACTCGCTCCTTTAGTTGTCTGGAGCTGGAGGCTTTGTTGCACCAGTTGGCTCCCAGCCCCACCACTGCCACGTTGCCTGGCTGCTGCCCAGGATTGCTGTGGCTATTTGAAAGGCTCGCAGCTCTGGCCCCTGCCAGGGTAGTGCCGCAACAGGGAGCCATGAGCCATTTAAATAGGATCCTGCTGCCTGAGCTACCACCTAGAAATTCTGTGGCATGGTCAGCAGGATATAGATAGAAAGCAGCCAGATGCAGTCCGTGGGCTGGATTCAGCCTCAAGGCTGCATCTTGATCAGCCCTGGGTTAACCGATGAGGGGAGGGCCACCCAAAGGGTTGCTCTGGCTGGGCTGCAGACCGGGGCTGGGGCTGGAACTGACTTCCTCTGGTCTAGCAAACTCCCTCATTTGGGACCGGTCAGATTCTGAAGGCGCCGGATCAGGGTGGTCCGACCTGTTTAATTCAGTTCTCCAACCCCAGCGCATGCAATCCATTTTAATTTATCATTGTAACTAATAAAATAACACCATCAGGGAACAGAGGAAGTAGAAGCTTCTGCTGAGACATACTTGGGAAACTGGTGTTATATTTCAAAAGTGATGCCTGTTTTCTTGATCAGTAAATGATTTACTTATTATAGTCCATGAAAAAAGCAATATAAGTTTAAAATGTTAAACATCTGACATTGATATAATTAAATATCAGAAGAGCAGAATTGTTTCCTGTTCAATAATCCAATCTGTTGTGGCAGTGGAAAGCCGCTTGCTAAAGGACTTTTTCTATACTGTTTGTCTTCCTCAGCTTCGTCGCATGCAAGAGATGATTGCAAGAATGCAGGCTCAAATGCAAATACAGATGCAAGGTGGTGAGGGAGACAGCAGTGCAGTTCATGGACACCATGTATAAATTCTTTGGTAAGATCTTCAATGGTTATAATTGCAATAAGAAAAATATTAGACTCATAGAACTGGAAGGGGCCTCAAGAGGTCGAGTCCAATCCCCTGCCCTCGCGGCAGGACCAAGCACCGTCTAGACCATCCCTGATAGATGTCTATCCACCCTCTCTTAAATATCTCCAGAGATGGAGATTCCGCAGTCTCCCTGGGCAATTTATTCCAGTGTTTAACCACCCTGACAAGAATTTTTTCCTGATGTCCAAACTAAATCTCCCTTGCTGCAGTTTAAGCCCATTGCTTCTTGTCCTGTTCGCAGAGGCCAAGGAGAACCATTTTTCTCCCTCCTCCTTGTGACACTGTTTTACATAATTGAAAACCACTAGCATGTCCCCTCTCAGTCTTTTCTCTTCCAAACTAAACAAGCCCAGTTCTTTCAGTCTTCCCTCATAGGTCATGTTCTCTAGACCACGCCCACCACTTCTCCCTTATTCATGAGGCTTGAGAGCCTATCAAAGAAAGCTATCAGATTGGTTTGACATGATTTGTTCTTTACAAATCCATGCTGGCTGCTACCTATCACCTTATTATTTTCCAGCTGTTTGCAGATGAATTCCTTGATTACTTGCCCCATTATCTACCTTGGCACAGACTGGTCCGTAGTTTCCTGGGTTGTTGTTCTTCCCCTTTTTATAGATGGGGGACTAGATTTTCCTTTTTCCAGTCTTTTGTAATTGTTCCTGACTTCTATAATTTTTCAAAGATAATAGCTAAAGGCTCAGATATCTCCTCTATCAGCTCCTTGAGTATTCTAGGATGCATTCCATCAGGCTCTGGTGACTTGAAGACATCTAGCTTTTCTAAGTAATTTTTAACTTGTTCTTTTTTATTCTAAACTCACCCCATTATTTCCATTAGTATTCACTATTAAACATCCCATCACCATCCATCTTCTTGGAGAATACCGAAACATTAAATCATTAAGTGCCTCTGCTATTCCCAAGTTTCCTGTTACTGTTTCTCCGTCCTCACTGATCAGTGGGCCTACCCTCTCCTTGGTCTTACTCGTGCTTCTAGTATATTTGTAGAAAGTCATCTTGTCCATTGTAGTGTGTCAAGGCTTTGGAAAACACAGGACAACTGATTGATTTAAGAGGTTGAGTCCACTTTGTTAAATGTTCACACAGCTTGTTTAAGTCTACTTAACACAGCTGTGTTTTCTGTTCAGATTACAATCTTTTCTTGAATTGTTGCTGAATGTGCTCCTATACCTTATTGTTGAGCAAGCTTCTACCTTTCAAAAATCTCCAGTTTGTTCCAATACAGCAGCTGCTTTGACAATCATCAAGCATCATGCAGAGTACAATTGTCCTTGTGCACTTCTCACTGTTCTTGCTCCTCAAATAGCACATCAAATCCCATTTTTTGTCTTTGTCTTCTGTGGTTTTGGCTCAAATTAGTGGAGGTACCACTTCATCTCAGACAACTGTGAACCCCCAGAACTGCTTTCTACTGAACCAATGCATTTTTTTTCTTTGAGTTCATGTTCACCTTGATTCCAGTAAGGTGTGCGTGCATTGTATGCGTGACCGTTGGAAACTTTTTCCCTTAGCAGCCCGTCAGGTTGGATGGGGAGCCCTTTGGAAAGATGCCTCCATGGTGCTCAATATATAATCCTCCTGACCCGATTGCCCCTTACATTTCTCCTTACCATCTGCAGCAGCATTGGAAGTCTTCCATCATCCTCCAGCAGTTATCTCCTTGGCCACTCTTTGGTAGAGTTTGTTGAGTTAAATCTCTAGTCAGTGGAGGATAGCCCATGCCCCTCACCCACTCTGCGTATCGGGACATGCAGAAGCCTACAGCTTTAAGTTCTGTACGGCATGAAAGAACCTTATTCCAAACAGCGTCCTCATGACTTGGGGGGGGGGGGGGCGGAGCCCTAGTTGGGAGCGCTGCAAAATCTGAAGGTCTTTCCAGCCCAGAAAGAGAAAAGAGCACAACTTCAGGCCGAAAGAGTTACTAACGAACAGTCTGCTTCGGGACAAACTCAGTACAGAGTGCCGTGGAGTTGGTTCAAGAAACGGTGCCGAGAAAGGACTCTCTAGCTGGAGACACTCGGCACCCAAGACTGCTTCAGCACCTGGCACTGTTCTGCATCACTGATACCGCAGACACACTATAAGGTGCCTCGAGGGCGCTCTCCATATGGGGCACAGCTCTCTCTCTCAAGCCCGTTCTGCACCACAAGAAGGTCTCTGTGCACAAGGCTCAAGACCCAGAGTCATTGACTCTGGTGCCCCAGCAGGCATTGTTGCCTTTGGCTCATAACCTCTCTCCAATGGAGCACTGTCCAGTGGAGGTATTGGACTCTCCTTCCACGCTGGATGCTTTAGAGGTGGCTAAGGCCCCCACCTGTAACAGAAAAACCTCTGGTATTGCTGAGTTAGGGATGTGAAAGGTTAACCAGCTTCCTGGTTAAGCAGGTCATGTTTACTGGTTCTGGCTAAACAGTGGGGGCTGGAGCAGCTCCCTGCCTGCTGTGGGCAGGGGGCCTGCTGTGGATAAGAGCTTCTCTTGTCTGGAGCACACTGTCTGTGGTGGGCCTGGGTGTCTCATGGGCAAAAGCTGCTCCAGTGGGGCCAGAGAGCTGGGGACTGCTCCAGTCAGGCTGGAGCAGTCTCTCTTAATCAGTTAACTGGTTAAACATTGGGTCAGCCTAACATTTAACTGGTGAACTGGTTAGCCGGGATTTTATATCCTTCCTGAGAGTGCCCCCGTCCAGAGTAGCGGCGTTGTGGTGCCCGTTGATGCTGAACTGGCACTGGCCTCGGCAGCGGTGATGCTCCCCTGCTCCGTCAAATGACCACCTGGCACTGAAGGAGCACCGAACTACTTCCCTAGCACTAGATATGCAGAGCCAGTCAGGCCCTGGGCCAAAGAGACTGCCCCTATATTATCCGGCCTGAGTGTGTCCTGCTTCAGAATTCACGGGGGAGAGAGATGGCATGGTTGGTGTGTTTGCAAAATGCTTTCTGGTGAGGCTGATAGAAGTAATCTTAGGCATCATGTAGACTGCCCCTTCGTAGGCCCACATGGAATACAGAAGAGAATCTTTGACTGTTAGCACAGACTGAAACACATGCTACAAATACAAGGTATAGTTACAAAACTGCTAGCCTTTAACTCTCCATATTTCTGCCGCCTTTGCAGATGACTTCATCTGCAGACTAAGAGGAAACTTTCCAGTGTTGGAATGCCATGGTGTCTCACTGGGAAGGATGTCTCTTACATCGCCTGTGTCTGGGAAGACAAGCTAGTGTATTATGTGCATGGTAACTTTTGTAGTATGTCCTTTGTAACAAATTAGTATTCGGTCACTATTTCATATGTTATATAGAGAATGTGATTGGATTTAGTGTTTTATTGAGCTCATTTTCTGTAACCCAGTATATTAGGAATGCAAAATGGATGATACTGAGCCTTTCTCAGCCTGATTAAGCAGGAGTCACTCTATTTACATAGCTCACTAGCACCATGAGTCATACTACTTATTACTCCTAGAGCAAGGTGACTGGGCTATAGGTCGTCTAGTGGCGTGAGACATGGCTGATTAGGGAGTCCAATGCCAAGTTGTTGTTCTGGCTCCTACTTCTTGCATTGTTTAACTGTTTGCCTGTGAGACTCTTGGCCATTCCTCTGTTATTGCCTTGGCATTGCAAGTGTCTGATTACAAACCAGGTCTGCCTGGCCTTCTCTAGGGAGACGAGAGAGAGAACTTTGTGGTGAAGGGGGCGTAGCAGTTAGCAAATGTTTATCACTTTTACATTTGTCTTGAGGGAAATATCTTCTGGATTCTGTTTAACTAAAACCCTCCACACTTTCTCTGTAGAGCAGCACAAAGCAGTATTGTGTTGCACTGGTGCCTCTGCAGCAAGAGTAAACCAGAATAATGCTGATGTTGGTATACAAAGGGGGTAGAAAAGAGAAATCTGCCTTATGTTTTCCAAAGCATCCGAAACTAACTTTCCTAATGCAATAGGGAGGAAGAACTTTCAAGCTATTTTGATAGTATTGCAGTCAATTGTAATTAAAATATGAATTATAGAACAATTTTTCCTTTTTATAAATGGAAATCTGGTGCAACAATATAAAGCGGTCCATTCTCACTTGGTCAGTGTAAATTATAAATGTCTGCATCAGTGAAAGAATGTGGTTTATATTAATTTTGCTGTGTGCCTGCGATGATAGATGCTGGCTTGCCCTTAAACAACAGTCTCTCTCGTTAGATATGAAGGTGGTAGTAAGGGACACTTTTTGCCTGAGTAAGGCTTGCACTACACCAACCTACTGGTTGTTGTGTTTTGCACGTGTCAGGGTATGATATAGCCATTGCGGCACAAGCCCAGCTGCTGACATATTGTTGCCATTTGCTGAATGACTGGTCTTCTCTACTTCCCATTCTAAAGCCAACCATTGGATTTCATAATAGGCTGTGCTACAGTAAAATTAGCTACCAGAGCGGTTTACAACCCTTCAGCACAAGAGAGATAATACAAATGGCACCCTCACAAAATGCTGAGCTCTTCGATTTTCTACACAGCACTGCCTTTGCTCATCTTCTTCTACATTTTATACCAGAGATAAAAAGTAATTTAATCCTGCAGCTAATATATAATCTGTTTTAAAATTCCATAAATTGTAGTTTTAATGGTCACTAAATGACTAGTTTAAAAGTCATTGTTTAAAGTTTAAACATAGTTTAAAGGCCTGCTACTGAACAAATTAGCTTTATATTTTGAATCTCTTTTTAATATCTACAGTAAAACCCACTGCACTCTTCTGCTTCTAAAGCAGCTGCTATTTCATGAGCTGCTCATCATCCTACTCATTTCTCCTTATTTTTGTTCACAATGAAGAAAGCAAAAGCAGGGGTCTTACAGATTTCTGCTTTACCAGATGCACAGGATTAATGAGTCTTTGCTTGCTAAATGGGCAAATAAAAATTAGTAGAGAGAGAAATGTCAGTGTTTACATTTTGCCTTTTCCTGACAGAAGAGATCGTAATAAGGCATTTCACTATTACTACAGAGAACTTTCTAGCCATCTTGCTTAATTTTTTTTCAATATCTCGAGCATATTGGTATACTGAAGAAGTGACCCTAAATAGACCAGAAATAATACAAGCTTCAGTGAAGGCATTAGAATAAACACTTTAAAATGCCTGATATCCTTTTCTTTAGCCCCAGTGGTTTTCTTCGAATAGTGCAGCTAAGCACCTCTGTGCACATTTGAGGGTGCTCATATAGTATCAGTTAAAATAAAATTCTTACTGTCATTTTACAGAGATTGCACATAGCACATTTTGAAGTGCTGTCCTTTTTTCCAGGAAAAACTGTTACATAAAAACATTTCCATGTCTTTCTTCAGAGGTCAGTACTGTGAGATAAACAGCAATATTATTTGTAACCAGTATTAGAAGAAAAAACTTGTGAAAGCTTATATACACGCGCGCGCACACACACGCAAGTGGCAAATACCTACTTAGTTAGCCCTGTTATATTCCCTTGGTTGAGGGACCACCCCCTTCCTGTATTCCTTAAGACAACTTCTGCTTGGAATGAAGAGAGAGTCTGTATTCAGTGTAGATTACATAGGCTGAGCTCCAGTTGTGGAATTGTCATGTGAGAGTTCTTAGGATTTGCTGGGTAATATGTACTAAACAGCTCACTCTTGCAACAAGAGCATGATGGATAGTTAAGTAAGTTGATTTAAACGTTCTCATTTTTTTTCAACACAAGTGGGAATTCTTGGGATTCGCTATCTTAATGGATGGAATTTTTGTGGCTGCCAGTTGCTTCCCCACATACACTTGTCTGCAGCGGGGAGAGGTCCTATGTGCCTGACAGCTGAGAGTCTCTTCTCTGCTTGGCCTTTGATGTTCCTGATTCCACCTGCTGTTCATGTGCACAGTGACATGATTTCTAAAATGAGCTGTTCTTTCTCAGCCCTCTGTTCCCCTGGACACCAACCAGTCTTGGAGTGAGGCAGATGTCCTGCTCTGGAGTCCGGCAGAGTCACTGCCTGCTGAGCTGGTCACAGTTGCCCTGTTTTCTTTAGTCAAAGTAATTATTAGGAGTCAGTATTGCTACACTTGCGGTGCTTCATATGTGCAAAGGGCTATTTCTTTGTATACAGATATTTTAAATTGCTGTATTCCGATTGTGTATTGTCATTAAGCAAGACTTATATTAATAAAAATATCGAAATATACAGTGGCTCTTTATTGAATTTCTTGTAGTGTCAAACAGGAATCATTACATTGCATGACACTGTTTGTATTCTAATTTGGCTTTCACAATCCAGTTTGTTGGACTCACATCAGTGAAGGGCAATGGTACTGATGGAACTGCACACAAATATGAGAATTAAACAAAACCTGCTCTGGATTGAATCGCAATCTAGATGGTACTTTTCATGCAGGTCATTTTTTGAGTGTCCACAGCTCTGATTACTGTGTGATGCTCTTGTTCATCCCGAAATGGCACTGTACTGGGCCTGCAGTAGTAAACCAGGGCATTCTAAACCACAGAGCTCAGAAGGGGCCACCTCTCTCGAATATGGACAAATGCCCTGTCACCTGCCTTGTGTCGGTTTACAGCTTCTTCTGCGACATGCCCCAAAATCAGCTGTCACGCTGATCCATCTGGAGTGGTTACTGGCGACAGGGGCATGCCAGTGGATCTAACGTTTGTGCAGCCTGGCCCTGGATCATCAGAGTACCGACGCTGTGGGAAGGGGCACGTAGGAGATGGCTGGTGCACTGTGTGGAAAGGCTACTTGCACCAGGAGAGCTTGCATTGATGCATAGCACCAGTCTAAATTGACACATGGAGAAGGGGTGGGCTGGAGACAGGACAGTGGTGGCTAGCCTTGCGGAGAGCAAGTCCAGTCCAGGGGTGATTCATAGCAGTTTTGGGTATGGCTGTATAACGTGGTGAGTGTGCTGGGAAGTTCATACGTAGCATGTCAAAATTCTCTTATGCGGACACTCGCCAGCTGAGTGTGTTGCTTGAAGCATGACAGAGCTCACTGCCTCCCACGTGAAGGGAACTGCTGTACATCTGACAAGGAAGGGGCGGTGTCTAGCTATCTCCGAAGGGGAGAACACTGTTTCCCATATCCTGCTAGGCAAAAGCAGAGGCAGAAGCAGTCCTGCAGACACTACAAGTTCCTTAAGCCAGGAAGTCTTAGGCTTTGACAGTTGTGGGAAAGATTATGGACACCTGGCAGGCAAGGAATGCGAGGAGCTGCTAGCTCAATAGAGCCTGAGACTAGCTCCAGTCTTGTTCGGAATGCTGTAAATAACATTACCTAAGAGACACAGCCTATGTGTTAATGCTAAAAGAAACCCTGACAAGCCTAGCTTTGGCACATCAAAGGCAGCGACGCAACACAGGCATGTAGGCTGAATTCTAGCTACACCCTAATAAAGCGCGAAGTTCTCCGCCACAGTGGTCCGCTGGCAGGAACTAATGACGTGTCCAGCAAATCGCTTATTGCTGTGGTATGCAGTCTCGCTTGCCCCACTCTCTGCTGAAAAACCTGCTAGCTCAGCAGTGGAAAAATGACCTAATTTTATAAGTGGTAGCCAAAAATTCTTGGGAAACCTCCCACATCAAGATGAGCCAGCAACCCCAATCTTTCACAGTGAGCTCATCCCTGTATCTGAGAGAGCAGTGGGCAGCCACACTCTGAGAGCTAATGCAAAACACCCATTCAGACTTTGAGTGGGAACGTTCCTTACTCACTGCGCCTTTCTATTTTAGAGGCATAAAGATCTTGCGGAAAAAGGGGGTTTTGCGCAAAACGGATACATCCACGCTGCTTGTTTTTGCGCAAAAAGCATTGGAAGAGATCATGCACGTGTGAGAGAAAATGCTAACGAGCACTTCATTTGCATTGCCTTGTCTGCAAAAAAATCTAGTGTAGATATTGCCTAAGTGATTAGGTGCTGTACATCTAGATCTGCACCAGTGTTAGAGTTGAATTTGGTTTGCTGACTGTAACTCAGTTAGGTAAGTCTTCAATTAGAAACAGGTAAGCTGGTGAAAAGCAACCTGGATAAACAAAACTAGCTCACAGCCACTTCTTTACCTGCTTCAGAATATAAAACTGTACAGCAAGACTTGATAAGGCTAACTCTATACTGGATACATTCCATTTCCTTGATTTACGCATCTGAAAAATTACGTTCTCCAGACCAAATAACTGGAATCATTCCTTTGAATCTAACAGTTAAACTTCTTTTTAAAAGTATCTTGCATATAGAGCAGTGTTTCCCAATTGTATTTGGCCATGGAACCCTTTTAAACTTGGAAGAATTTCGAGGAACCCCTACAGCTGGGCCTAGGTTACCCAGGAGAAAATTTAAATTTGTCGAGCAAAAGAAAAAAGAAAGAGCCACCAGACCTGGGCCTCATGACCCCTTTCTCTCCTCCTCTCTCCCCCCCACCACAGGAAGACAGTCTGGTCTCTGGTATATGAAGCTGAAAAAGTAGACCACAAATAAGTAAGGATGATAATAATGAACAAATGCTAAATAAGGTCATGAGATCAACATTTAGTTTAATTGCACGTATTTAAAAACAAAAATCACATTTAATGTGTACAAAAAAATAAACCTCAAACTAATATGAATTATATTGGCAGTTTTCAATGTGAAGAGTTTTTTTCTTCTTTTCTTGGCAAATCCTTTTTATATTTGGTTTAATACTAAAAAGCTGGATTTGCATATCTGGTGCTGTATTCAGTCGATTTCTGTATTTTGTTTTTGTTGATGCATAATTCGAGAACCCAGTTTCACACAAGTATGTGCTGGTGAAGGGTAACAACCGATGAACTGCGGTGGTGTGTCTGCCTCACTGTGTCTGGTCTGTGATTTCAGGGTGGCTTGAGAGTCTCGTACAGTTTTCTGTTAAGCTGAGCATTTCTTTAGAGGTTTATTCAGTTGCTACCACTGAATAGTTCCATGTACTGTACACAAGGAGAACATGCATTGCGCTGCGTGTTCTCTTATCTTCCACACACATGTAATTCGCGATCCTAATAGTGCGCGAGTTTGGTGGTGCTTGGGGTGTGTTTTTGTTACATTGTTTAGATCAGTGTTTCCCAATTTTATTTGGCCATGGAACCCTTTTAAACTTGAAAGAATTTTGCGGAACCCCTAGTAACAGTCTTGTATATGGAGAAGGGTGCCGTCAGCAAGCTGGGAATGTGGGGTCTTGGCGGGGGGAAGAGAGTGAATGAGGGGGATTTGGGTGTGGGGTCTGGGCACCAGGGGGGACACTTACCTGGCTTGGCACCCTGCTGCAGCAGGGAAAGCCTCCAAGCAGCATGCTGTCATTCCCTGAGCAGGGGGGCTGGAGAAGGAGCTCAGTCCTCCCCCCCGCCACCCATGCAG